CTCCCTCCCTCCCTCCCTCCCTCCACACGATCAATGTCTCCCACCTCGGTAGTCCACGGGTAAGTCCAGTCATAGTTGTCCTTGCACAGAGTCAGTCACGCCAACACCGCAGGAGCTGCGTCACAAGATACGCCAGAGCGATCCGAGAGTACTGTTGCGATCACGACATGTCAGGTGTCAAACTCAAACGCGTCCGCCGCATCTCACGTTGGAAACCGCCTCGAAGCTCATCCCCAGCCATCGTTCGCCCATGTCCTGTAGTTCAGCTTCAACGGGAGGAACATCGAAGAGAGAAGAGGGTCACAGTGCAACCTGATACGCACAAGAGCCGCACGTTGCTAACGCATTCTCGTAGCCTTCGACAGAGAAGTCGACAGAGTAAAAGCATCGGTTTGTCCGCTGGACGAGAATGGTCAATGTCATTTCTTTCTGGGATCGCACCCTTCACGTTGGCAAGATCGGACAGGAACTTGGTGCTTCCTTCACCTGTACGACATCTCAGACTTTCTCCATACAGGCTTTCGCGCTGACCTCTGTCGCTCCCTATCTCTATGAAACACCCATCATCGAGCTCTGTTATAATGTCAATTCTTACGTGCTGGCCGCGTTCAAGAATGGCAGCCTTCCACCTCCTGCTAGTTCCTCGAGCATGACGTAAGCTGATGCTCCTGCTTCGCTCGGCTGAGGGATCCCGCAGCACGACAGCCAAAGAATCAAGCATGCGGCACGGAAGGGCTGGAGTCTACATGCCATGACGTTACGATGATTCCTGGGCATAAAACGTGGAGAAGGAACATCTAACAGTTGTCTTGTCTCACCTTGTGACTGTCAGAGCTGGATGAGGCCAACATCTGCCATCTTCTTCGCTCATCGGTCTTCGTTCAGCCATGGGACTATCCTAAGCCGGTTCCCCGACAATGGTTTCAATGTTACAGATCTGTTACGACGCACCGTGACCAGTGATCGGCGACCGTATCAGTGAAGTATCGGACCGTGACGGCGGCAGTCGCCCGGCCAGTACGGTCCGTGACGGTACCCGGGCCGCGGCCCGTCCCGGGCAGCGGCAGGCCTCAGTGCCAGTTGTTGCAGGCTGCCCGGCGGTGACTCGCCGGCGCCTCGTTGGGCCGCCCGTGACGGCGGCCCAGTGGTCCCGGCGGCCCGGCCCTCGGCCCTCACTGTGCCAGGCCCGCGGGGCCCGGCCGGGGGCACACTGGCAGGCCAGCGGATCAGTCACGGCGGACCGTCAGGATTCGAGTCGCAAGGATCACGGTCCGATCACGGTCCGAGTCACACCCCGGGGACCGTATCATGCCTCAGTGCGACAGTGGCTTGAGTAGTAAACTCAGGTCCAAGTTCCTACTTAACTTTCCGGAGTCCCCGGCAATTGAGCCCGCCGGCATGTTCGGCCAGGCCCGGCACTGCCGCGGCAACTTCACTGACCCGGGTCTGAACTTCCGAAGTGACAGGCTGGTGAGTGCAGCGGCTTGTTCTAAATCGGGAAGAGAAGGATTGGGGGCAGCAGGTTGACAGTCAGAGACAATTAGAGAGACTCTTCTGCCCTAGTAGGTCCGCCACCCCTCACGGAGACCCAGACCAGTCGAACATGGTGAGCATGCCGCGCCTGAGACGAGAGAGGAGGGGCGGGAAGAGGAGGAGGAGGGGAAGGAGGGAGTCAGCCTGACTCTGATCGCTAGAGGGATCTAGAGTTATATTTGAATGGGGAGGTCGGCAGTGGCGGCATCTGAACGAAAGGAGGGCAACATGCAGTGCGGGGAGTAAGGAAAGGCACTGCGTTGCGGATGCGGGGGAGTAGGTTCTAGTGACTGAGGGTGAGGTGAAGAGGGGGAGTAGCCTTGAGAGGGGGATAGAATACACAGATTCTTCATACAACAACTGAACCATTTCACTGTTGAACCTTTTTTTTCATTCGCCCTGACATTTGCTGCAGTTTGCTTTGGTGAGTTGCGTGTATTTCAACAAGGGTCTTCTTTGCTGCTTTCGGCTTTCCACTGTTTCAAGATGATGATAGATCATCCAAAGATCATCAAGGATTTATTTAAACGTTTTCTTGTCTGACAATCATGTTTCCTCGCAGCTGAAACAGTATCACGGCGATGGAACTTGCAATGCCCTGCCCAAGTATAGCAATGTGAACCCCTTACCAAATACAAGATTGTAACAAGACATATTTGTTTGCAGGTGGGAGCCGTCGTTCAATGCCGTAGATGGAAGTACTTCAGATGACTGCACCACCTTCCCTGATTACGGTGAACCAGGTAGGTTCACTCTACAGACTTGAAAGTTGTCATTCATGCTTGTTTGCTTTCAGGACTGGGTTACGGCGCTAAGTTTGGAAGTGGCGAGCACGGCAGCCCTCTTCCTCCCTACGCAACCTCATAAGCAAGAATGGTGGTTGAAGTTGTGAATTTAGATGAAAATCGATTTCAAGTAATGAAGAAATTGGACCACATTGGATCAGGAATAGTCCAGCGTTTTGTTGAGAGATCAAGTGTGCTGGGAGAAGTAACTATCACTGTGTGAGATCATACACATCAGCACACATCGAAGATCGATAATTCTCAAGAGAAAAATTCAAATTTCATTTACAAAACAAAATCAATTCATCAGAAGAACAACTATTATTAACTTGCAGCAAGGGCATCCACGACGCTGCTGAATCCAGCCCCAGTTGTCCCCCAAACGATCGAGAAAGGTAAGCCAACAAGGAAGCACGACCAGAAGTACGCGCCAACTGGATATTTGTCCCCTGGGAAGCGGACGAGGCTCAAACCGTAGTTCTTCACACCCAGAGGAATGGGTGCGACTCGAATCGCACACATGGTCTGATGGGGTTTGACATGTGAGAAACTACTACAACATTCATGCAGTCTCATATACCTGGAAGGGTTTCTTCTTCAGCACGCCCAGATATTGCTCCAAAACCGACGGCATGCTCCAATTCTTGCCGAAGATTCTTCCAATCGAAAGCGCACAAATGCATCCTGCTGTCTTTCCAACAAGGCTTCCGAGTGTACCCCAAATCGGACCGAACACACATCCTCCGCAAACTTCCAACGGCGTGACGGGAAACGCTAAAGTGGTCCAGCACGTTAAGAAGACTATAAAACCTACGTAACCTAGAGGGTGCGATTCGAAATAGTTGAAGATCGCAACTAACAATTGTGTCTTACTGAACTGTGACCAATCTGCGCCATCTGCAGTTGTGTTGCTTGGACTGAGAGTGGGTATGTGGTTGATGGGAGCTGAATGCTCGACCGACATGGCTTTCATTGGTAAATCTGCAAGAGATAATCAGCATATTCAAGGTCATGGATCAGTTTCTTTTGGCCACTACTTCAAACCAGATACATGTGCACATTTGACAGAATATTCTCGATAAAAACTCTGCATCGCATCAAGGGTGAATAAAACGGATGTGAAGGCTTTTCTCAGTTGATAATTGGATGACGTTCTACTGACGAAACATGGGCTACAATTAGAAAAATCTTGCTTGATGATCAAACCCCAACCTTTTTACATGCCTACTTGCAATGGCTATGCTGGGATCATTCCATATCCTAAAATCGGGAGGAAACCATACTTACAGATTCGACCTCTACATTTTAGCCTCTGTAGAAAACCAATGAGCAAATGCTAGCATAGTACATAACCTTCCTCATTCTGAATTTCATGTTTCATAGCGTTTGCCTCTTACTATTCCACGATCACTTATTCAGGTTCTCCTATCTTGCAGCCTTATGCCAAAACATGCCATTGCATGCTCCGCAATTCCTTCTATCTCTAACCATGTATGTCCCTTACCGTGGTGTATCGGTGGGTGGGTGGTTCGGAACGGGGGTTATAGAAGCTTTGATTTTAAAGGGTAGGGTCATCACCTCCACCCCAGTAATCTCACGGTTCTAAAGGCAAAGGGACCCTACTACAGCATTGCGTTTTCTGCATGGCGAGGAATGAGGGGTAGGTGAAAGAGGAAGGGGTGACATTCCTACCCCCACCCATTAGTTTTGCCCCCTTTTTTTCTTATTAGGGTACGGGTAGGGAGCACCCCCAGTCAAATAGACCCCGCTATATTACCTAAAAACCACCCCTCCTTCAATATCATCTAGCAGACTGCTAGCAGTCAGGAATCGGTTTAGCAATTTTAGCCTGCCTGGTACCCCACCCCTTCATAAGTGGTCGAAAGTACCGGACATGACTCAACATGAACTGCAGTTTATTTTAAGATTAGCTCAATCAATTGAAACCAAGAAAAAAAGGATTCAGCTCGTAGAATTGTCAACAGGGTCCCCGATGGTTGACGAGCGATGAAGTACGAGGAGTTCCAGTCGGCGGCCATGGCTTTCATGGCAGAGGCGAACGATCACGGTCAGGTGAGGATAATCTATACATTCGACTCAATCACGGGATATGGAGGGAGAAAAGGTAGAAGAAAGTGCTAGGCAGCACGTGGTGAACAATCATGAATGGTTTTTGTGTTCATGCTACTGGGGATTGAGAGAGCATCGGGATATTTTGCCTTACTTAAGCATGAGATCATGATAAAATCATGTTTGTGCTGTTTTTTTAATTTTTTTTTTTTGGTGTAGGAGTGGAAGTGGGTCCCAAACCACCCCAGACCGCTTCAAAATGTTGGAGCAGACGATAGAGGATATCTTGCCCTAGAAGAAGTTTATAGAGAGCCTCTGGAAATTGACAGCACAGAGAACAGAAATGAATTGGACGACGAAGATTCTTGCACTTTTATTGACCCGTCTGTCATCAAATCGGAAACAGCGCAGCCGAATATGTACAGGTACCATGTGGTAAATTTCCTTGCTGTGTATCAAAACGAGTCCAAATGGTTTCCTACAGGTATATGTGGAAGCATATCAGTGTCCTGTTCTCTTTCTGCAGGGAAAGAGCATCGACGGACGATTATTGGACACTGAGTACATCTGGCGGGACTGCTGTGGATCAATGTGAGTGGACCACTTTGTACTTCCAAGTGAGGTTGGACACACCAGGAACCACGAACAAAGCTGGCTTACTGACTCGGTGAAGCCTGACTCACTCTGTGTATTTAATTGCCTTTTCATGATTTCTTTTCATACAGTGCTTACCGACACCCGAAGAGCATCCCGTTACGGGCGAGCCGTTCCATTTTGTTCATCCGTAAGCGAAATCTATTGCATGATCCACCATGGTGATGGAGAAAAACCCAGCTGCAGAAGCAAAGATTTCATGGACGCGATCATGCAAGCTTTCCTCCCATCCGTGCAAGAGCCTTGCACGCAATCCAACCTCAGATACTTCAAGCTCTGGCTGAGCGTCTACGGGCAAGCAGTTGGGTTGAGGCTCCCGCTCGCATTACACAGCTCCAACCCACATCCAACCTAGAATGTTTGCTGATTGATTGATTCATTGATTAAAGATTCCCTCAATGTCTTATGCGACATGACAAAACTGAGACTGCAATCGACATAACCGCACAGTCTAGACGGTAGATTTGAAGTTGGTTGGCCTTCCTAAGCAAGGGTATTACAAGTCATCAGGGGTACCCTCTAGCGGCAGCATCGCACCTGTTCGGATAATGCAGGCAAACACGATGGCAGCAATCTCCAGCACAATGGGCAAGAAGCAGACAACAGCAACCCTATCATGACTGGTCATGAAAGTTGCCTTGGCTCACATCAGAAAGCTTACGGTGCACCGGCCTTGTTGAGGAAGTTCATCACACATTCCTTTCCTGTGATACCTGAACGAGCATGATCGTCACGAATCAAGGAAATAGATTGTGATTTCTCACAAGTGGACTTGGACGTGTCACAAGCGTAGTCGCCCGTACAACAGCTCGTCTGTGCAGCAGTGGCTGTCGATGTGCGAACGCACCCAGTATCAAAGCTGCAAAGTGGAATGTTGTAGGTGATGTTTGAGTTCTGTTGAAATGTAAGATTATCTCTTCTCTTGTTCGAGAGCAAATCATTACGTCTGTCGTTTGGCCTTCATAGCAAGCAGGTGGAATTAATACATCCAAAGCCTTCCAGTCGAATTCAGTGTAATGATCTCTCAAGACGCCCAGCACAGGTCCCTGGATCTGGGCAGAATTGCCGCTGGAAATCGCAGCTGCAGCTGCACCTGTTGTGGCAAAGATTAGTCATACAGAAGGTTTGTAGCAATCGGTATCGTCTCACCGAATCCAATCTGAAGGATGATCATAAGAAGCACGAGGCAAATATACAAGTAGAGAATCATCGGTCGCTCTCTGATCGCTCCCACACAGCCAAGGATCGAAATGAAGAATGTGAAAACCCCGACGACCACCAATCCGATCGCAGGTGAGGCGAAGACAACTGTTGGGATGGAAGCACGGCCTGGAGAAGTCGTGCAGGTACAACCTGCAGTCTCAGGATCTTTCACACACTGACTCTTGCAGTAATCATTCACGGAAGTTCCAAAACTGTTGGCTGAGCAAACATCAGCACAAATCAAGATGAATGAACGCTCTCACCGTAGGTCAAGGAAACCGCACCAACACCAATGAAGATGAAAGAGAACAAGAGTATCAACATGTTGAGAACGAGAAGTCCTCGACGAGACGTCTTGTACTCACAGCAGAGGTTCGCCATGTTATCTAGCGGGATCTAACGAACCGAAACTACTTGTTTGGAGGTCTTAAGACAAACTGTTCAGGCGGTGAGGTCGTGAGCAGACAACAGACACGAGTATCTGAGAAGGATGGTAGGGTGGAGGAAGCGAAGGGGGAGGAGCAATGAGAGACGGAGACAAAGGAGAAGCGGACGGAGGGAAGGGGAGGGAGAGCGAGAGTGGGGGAAGAAGGAGAGGTGTGCCCTCTAGGCGATCTGGAAGAAAATTTGGTCATTGGGGGGTAGGGGTACCCCTTAACACCTCCACCGTACTAGGGTATGTGTGGGGTAGGGATAATACACATTGCGGTTCATGTGGTGGGGGTAGTGTGTTTTCAGTAAAAAATACCGGTGTTTACTATTCCAATTGACAATTTCAGGGGGTAGGGTATAAAGTATCCAAGGTAGGGGTGATGAACTATGGGTACGGTAGTGGCCAATGTAGAGGTAGGGGTACTGGAACTGGGCAGGACGGGGTGGTAGCGATGGGTGTAGCGAAATTCATTAATTGAATTTTATCCAATTCGACAAATACTCTTAAAGACATTCGCGAAATATTGCAGTAAACTATATAATTTTCATTATGAAAGTGACAATAGAATATAAATATTCTCATAGATTCGCTCCCCAAGTTAAGGCTGCCTGACGGTTTCGTCATCCCAATCCGCCTGTACCCTCTACCCCTACCCCGAAAATAAGAAGTACCCATCCTTTCTTATAACCCCATTGTTTCCTAAGAATCCCCTCTTAGAGAACCGGGTCCTTTTACTTATTCTCTTACGACCGGCCAAACTACCCCTTAGTCCGAAGAGTAGTACCCACCCCGGTGAAGCGCTACACTACCAGAAGAAATTCTACATATATATATATCGACACAAATACATTCACATCTTGGGAAAATATTGTACCAAAAGCCACCTATTAGTCCTAAAATAATTTTTTGACGTCATATACAGTACGATTTAATATTATTTATAACTTGTGGTACAGATACCAAAAACTATATTTTATACACACCGCAGGGTGTGGTGGTCCGTACTGAACGATCATAGGAGAGTCTGGAGGTAAATTGAAATATTTACATGTATATTTGAAATTTTGATGACAAGATATTATTTGTAGAAGCAAGACATGCCTTTACTTCACAAAAAGAAAACCCTAGACTTGAGCAAAATTGTCGATAACTTGAGGGGTGGGGTAGTAAAAAACAATCTCCGTTCCACCCTCAGGGCAGAGGAGCATTGCCGCCGCCGCGTCCCGCTCGTGACGTTCTTGACGGTGTGACCTCCCCCTCCCTCTCCTCCTCCTCCTCCTCCTCCGACTTTCCTTTCATCCGTCATTCTTTCTCCACCCTCCTCGCCCAACATGGTCATATCCTGCTTTCTGAGTCTGTCTGATCCCACACTTCCAATGCCATCAATGCACGCACTGTCGCCCTTCCACACGCGGTTTCCCTCATTTTCCTCTCCTCCTCTTTCCACCTTCCTCGGCCCCGTCAGAGCATGAGCATCTCTGCAAATTCAATCCACTTTTCGTTGGATTTCCTGTTCGCTGTGAATTGCCCTTCCGTGCATTCATCGAATGTTTTTAAGCCCCTTGGCCCTTCCCGCCTGCTACATGACCACCTCCGCACTGTTTATGTTCTTGCTCTGCCGTTTTTTTTGTGGACGTGATAGCAACACTGTTGCAATTTTTTTATTGCATATGTGGGTTGACTACCTTTCTATGCTGTGTGTTATCACAAAGGTGATTCGTGGGAAATTAGTGGCCCGTACGGCAGAGTCGTGCCCTCAGTCCATGCTCGCAATCCTGATTTGTATTTTTCTGTACAGGGTCAAATCGTTGAAATCTAAACCAGTCAATTCATCAAGGGAAGCCTCCAGCGTTCCCTGGGACTCTCGGCCTCCCTCTTTCTAGACCAAGCTCCTTCTCACCAACTTAGCCTCAACTTTTCCTAATCCTCGACTCTCCTCCACGTCCGCCTTGATCCCCGTCCACGAACCATAATGAGTGCGCTCCCTCCCCCCTCCGCCCCGTTCCCCTTCCTTCAACTATCAATTCTCCCCTCCTTACTTCCCTCAAAACCTTCTCTCCTTCCTCCCCTAACCTTTCCCCAAATCTTGCACCTGCAGGTGCAGGAGTTAAGAGGTCTCATGACGAGGCAGAAGAACAGGTTGATTACACAGATACTTGATTTGCTCCAAGTGACTGGATGTGTCGCAGGATGTCCTGGCCAAGAGACAGGTCACTGGCGATGGGATCTCGAGCGGAGATGAGACGCAAATGGCGCTCAAGATTCTGATTGGGAACAAATCTGCTGGCAGCGTGATTGGCAAAGCTGGAGCAACCATCAACAGCATCAAGGATACCTCAGGCGCTAAAGTCAAAGTCTCTAGCAACTCAGAAACATTCCCTGGAACGGCTGACCGCATCGTCTTAATTTCTGGAAAAGTTGAAACTGTGCTCTCCGCCGCCAAAATGGTCATCTCAGAGATGTACAGAGATCCCAATTCGGGTCGGGTTCCCGACGACGTCAACGTAATGCATGTTTCATTTGTCCTGGCTTGCATGTAATTCCTGTTCGGCAGGCGGTGATGACAGTCTCGATAGTGATCCCTGCTGCGGCATGCGGACTTGTGATTGGCAAGGGCGGCGAGAAGATCAATTCTTTGAGAGAAGAAACTCAAGCAAAGATTCAATTGCAAGCCAAGGACAAGGTTGCCATTCCAGGACTGAATGAGAGGATCGTCACGATCCAAGGAACGCTCCCACAGGCTCAGACGGTTTGTGCATGCAGTGTGCGGTGATAAATCTGATCTGGATTCGCAGGCAGTCGAAAAGATAGTTCATCTGATACATGAGGATGGGAACATTCGTTACGAGAACCTTGGAACAAATTACGGAATGTCGGGGATGATGGGGAAAGGGCTTGGACAGGGCTACGGGATGGGAATGATGCCCATGCAAGGTGCTGCGGCAATGTACGGTGGAATGCAAATGCCGATGGGCATGGACATGGCTTCGCAAGGCATGGGAATGGCTCCTGGAATGCCTGGGGTTTGTTTTTTGATATTTTGCAGCCTTGGTGTCTGAAACAGTTGTCAGGTTGTGCCAGGACAGGAATACTGGGGAATGAGTCAGCATGGTCTTGGAACTGACATGCACACCGTCCTCAAGCTTTCGATCACCGATGATGCCGTTGGGCCTCTTCTTGGAAAGGGAGGCTGCAACCTCAAGGAATACATCAGCGTCTCAGGAGCCAACATCAAGGTTTCTCAAAGGGTCAGTCCTTGGAATCGTGTGCATTGAGTGTCCTCATTCTACGTGCAGGGCGACACCATTCCGGGCACCAACAACAGGTACATCACTATCCAAGGTACTGCAGCTGCGGTACAGTATGCTCAACTGGTGAGTCATCCCTTCGACCTGGATGATTTGGTGCTAACCTGAAAGACAAGCTTGTTCTGCAGAAAGCTCCTAACGCAACGCCTGTTTAATTTTTCAACGTTTTTGCTTTGAGGTCAGGCTCTGCAAGATACCGATGAACTACGAGAGTGGGCCATGATGGTCCTGAACATTTGGATTTCAGCGTTTCAATAAATTACACGAAAATGTTTTTTCTTCTATCCTACACAGGCAAGGCTGGAGCGCACCATGATCAACGATCAGTTCTGCACTTTTGGCCCGATCGCCTGTCAGTTGATTGCTGCATTGCTGGTTCCATCGAGGATTTTGCTCCGGCGAAAAATATTGGCGGTTGCGAACGGCCGACGCTCATCCCAATGCACCGACTTGCATCCACGCAGCGACTCCATAGGCTTGGCCTTGCTCATGTAGGAAGGCTTGTGGCAATGGCGGTACGCCTCCACCGTGGAGTATGGATGGCGATCATCCCACGACACGTAGTAGGAGTCCTTTGAGTGAGTTCCACTGCGTGAGTCGTTGGAAATGAATCTTGCCCAAGCTCTGAGGTGTGCAGTGCGGCTGCAGTTGATTTGGAAAACCTGGTAGAGAGCAATCAATATTTGCAACAGACTAAGATTGCTCATAGTCATGGTCATAGACCTGATACGATACTATTATTTCCCTTGCGCTTCTGACTTGCTCTCAGGCCCTATGCCAACATCCGGCTAGATCCCATCGCGGATCTTCATACTTCTTCCTTTTCTCCCCTCACACTCCATCGGTTCACTTTATCTTTTGCATCTTCTCAGTGTAATGAGCTCAACTATCTGATCCACTACAGTACTACACACAAACAGCCGTGGCAAGATCCTCATTGTTGCTGCGTTAACTACAGATATCAAAATTCGTCCCACTCTGAGTTCGTCTGAATCCTGATGCAGTATTCAAACCCTCCCTCACATCCATGTCTTATTCTCTATGAAATTATCTCAAATTCTGCTAGCTATCTTGCTCTCGTCATTTGCTTCCTTTTGATCTTTTTGCATTTTCCTTGCGTTCTGCTCGACTCGACACCCTCCCTCCTCCCACTCCTCATCAGCCTTTCTTTACACGTCCAATTTGAACAGCTTGCACTTCCCTTCGGTCCTGTACTCAGATCCTGTCTTGTCTTGTCTCCGTCTCGCTCCTCTCTCTCTCTCTTCAGTCCTCTCCTCCTTACCTTGAGATTCATTCCAGCAACAGCTACTCCCGCCATTCGTACAGAGGCCGCGATTGATTGTGGGAGAGTTGTTCGGCAGGCAGGGGTGGATACTTTGCAGGGTCCTGCAGGACCGGTGTAATTTACTGAAAAAAATAGGGTAATAATAGGAATATGAGTCAGTTGGGGGGTACTACACAAGTGCGAGGGGTCCAGGTGCTCCAACAGAATCGATCCCCACCCATGCTCTCCTTCGATCTCATTACCCCCATCGTTCCCTGTAAATGTACCGGTACTATTGAGACAAATGAAGGCCCCACCCCCCAATCTCGAGGAATTTTTTTTTTCAAAACGTCCTGGTTGCGACTCCCCGTTTCCCTAACCCCTACCCCCCTCTTTTACCATTTATGACCCCACATTCCCCACCCAGAGAATCGAACACACCCACTACCCCTGTTTCTTGTACATCCTTTGCCCCCTACGCTGCAACAAGAGTTTTTTGGTCCTAGGAACTTGTCATAGTTTCATATGACTACCTATGACACAGATGTTGTACACGAGCTTGCACGACAGGGTGGGTGGTAGTATCTGAGGAATCCATTCTTTCTATTGAAAGGTCACACGATGGACCCAGTCCTAGAACATCAATTCTTGGTGAAAGGGTGGGGTAGACTACCCCAGGCATCCATCCGACCTGTGTACTATATATACCGGAGGTTTCCTTGTGGAGCCATGGGGTCCTTGGGTTTGTGGCGCAGTTGGGAGCGCGTTAGACTGAAGATCTAAAGGTCCTGTGTTCGATCCACGGCGAGCCCAGAAGCTGAATATGGCTTCTGCAACCAAAGTGGGACCCCTTGCTTTTTAACCGGACGGGCTCAGCTGCCTCAGATCTGCTCTGCCTCCTGTTACCTTTTTGATTGGTGGTTGGATCTACTCTGCCTCCTGTTTTCCGTTAGTAGCCTGTACAACGAAAAGGTTCTTGTAAGTGATGGAAGAGGACAAGACAAAAGACAGGAAGTTTATCTTTTGTCAGCACAAGTACCTAGAACCAGATACATCTTGTAGGATTCAGGCCCACTCAGAAAACTTGTGACCGTGCCGCCCCGGTAGCCGCCCGGAGTCTGCGCGGCCGGGCTCGCGGGGCCCCGGCGTCAGACCAGGCCGGGCTTGAAGACCGACAGTGACTGGCCGCACTGCGGCAGTGTTGGCTGTGGTATGCCGGGTACTGAGCGGGCTCAGTACCACGCCGTGACGGCCCCAGCCCGCGGCCGCGTGGAGCCTGATCTTGAGCCGCGCCGGGCCCGCCGGCCCGGCGGGCCGGCGGGCCGGATCATGATCGGATCATGATCGGACGGACGGAGGCTGCCAGCCGGGCCTGACGGTCACTGAGTCAGTGAGTCACGGTGGCACCGTAAGTTTGACTAGGCCAATCAAACGGCAGGTCGTGGTGGCTGCGGCATGCCGCAGCAGCAGTAGAAGGCAGGCTGAAGGGAAACACGCGGCGGCGATGACGCTCAGCGGTAGGCTGACGTGCTCGCATAAGTAAATCAGCTAGTGGAGAAGATGAGCCTAGATGTGAAGATGAACTTGAAGAGGAAGCTGAAGGCATGAAGTGGTAGGGAAGAATGATGATTTTCGACTCGATTTGTAGTTTGTCATCTGTACATGTTCATGTGTCTGAGATGGTGAAGCATCACGATGTAACATGGACTTGGATGCATGTTGTTCATGTCTGATTGTCTTGGTTCAACAATACCTTTTGTAGATGTTCCTCCAGTTGCACTGTTCAGTCTAAAGAAATGCTCGTGTTTCAGGAGAACGTTTCGTTTCAACTTCCATCTCCGAACGAGGTCGGATGAGCTTACCAAGTGAAAACAACCCCTCGTAGCACACCCAGCAGCAGACGAGTTCAACGCTGACCAGCTATGGCGCGGGTCAAGGGGAGCATGAAGCAAGGGTTGCACAGAGACTGTGCAAGCCTTGCCCTGATCTACTTGCTCCTGATCGTCTTATCGTGCATCACCTACAGGCCAACGTTGGCAGTCCAATGCTGGACTCCTGGGGATGAAGCTAACAGGCCTTACTGCAAGGAGCACTGCTGCTCCAACGTCTGCATGAATGCGACAGACTTGGCAGAATGCAAGAAAATCAATCTTACATCCCTGTCCGTCTCCACGCTTCCCCCCTTGTGGGGATGCAACTCATTGGTAAGGAAGTGGTGTATCTGTTTCTTTGAGGACGGCATGTGCAATGGAACGACGGTGGACAACATCGTCAACGACACAGATGTCACCAGCTTTCCGCAGGAGTCTCAGTACGTCAACCGGACTACTCTCTTACTTATCTGCCTTCCGCTCGTCTTTGCTATCTTCATGTTTGCGTGCGGAGTGGTGTGCTCGACTGGAAAGTGCAGGCAGTGCATGGGAGATCTGATCTGGAAGATCAAGCCGCTGAAACCCAAGACGCAGGAGGAGGAGGAGGAGGACGATGACGACGACGACGACGGCGGCGGCGATGGAGAGGACGGCGAGGAGGGCAACGAGATGGAGAGAGCAAGAGCTAAGGCGAAGACGCTGGGGGAGTGGACGCTGGATATCATCGTGCTGCAGGCTCGCAACCTCCCTCGCAGCGACATCCCTATCGTCGACAAGTACCTGGTGGGGCTCGCGGACCCTTACGCCCTCATCGGCGTGAGAAACAAGAGAAGAGAGAGAAAGACCCCCTACGTGCCCGAGCATCGCACCTCCACCAAGAAGAGCACGCTGAACCCGAGCTGGAACGAGCAGTTCCGCGTGCAGTTCTCCGGGACCAAGGACGATGTCTCTGTACAGGTGTGGGACTGGGATAAGTGGAAATACGACGACTACATCGGGGAGGCGCTGATCCCGACGGGCCCGCTGGTGCAGGCGTTCAAGCCTGGCAATACTGCGTTTGCTGATGCGCAATGGTTCGAGCTGTATGATAAGAACGGTGAGATGTGAGGAGGAGGAGGAGGAGGAGGAGGAGGAGGAGGAGGAGGGAAGAAAAAGGAATGATGATGAGGTGGGAGCTGAACACGAGAGGGGAGGGATAGGGGGAAGTTTTTCAAGTGGAAAAGGAAGGGAGGGAGGTCATAGAGCGTGGGAGGAGGAAGTGTCAGGAGGAGAAGAGGAGGGGAGGAATCGTAATTCAGAGTGCAGGTCATGTCGTTACTGCCGGGAAAAAGGGCAAAGAGGTGAATTTACGAATCATTTCTTCCTGCTCCTGCTCCTGCTCCTGCTCCTGCTCCTGCTCCTGCTCCTGCTCCTGCTCCTGCTCCTGCTCCTGCTCCTGCTCCTGCTCCTGCTCCTGCTCCTGCTTGTCTTCCCACTCTTGCCCTCCGCTCTCGTCCTACTCCTAGATCCTCTTCTTCCTCCTCCTTCAAACATGCTGGCCTATCAAGCTGACCGCCAGCAGCTGGACATGCCAGCAGCTGTAGAGCTTCAGTTCAAGCTTGACAAGACCTACGATCCTGTCGAGGTGAAAGTCTTCCTGCTCTCCTGCTCCTTTGTCTTACTCCTGCTCCCTCTCCTCCCTCTCCTCCCTCTCCTCCTGCTCCTCCTGCTCCTCCCGCTCCTCCCGCTCCTCCTGCTCCTCCTACTCCTCCTCCTGGTTGCCGCATCCTGCTCCAACCTCTCCCTTTCAATTCATGACTACAAAGATTTCTCCTCCCCTCCATCCTCTCCCTTCCATTCAGTTCCCCACCCCCACCCCCCGCTTCTCCTTCTCCGTCTTTCTCTCACCCCCCTTTCCTCCCTCCTCCTCCATTACTGACGTGGTTGACAGGCTCTTGGCGACATGAAAAGAGCCATGGAAGTGATTAGGGCGACAGCTCAAGAAGAAAAACTCCAAAAAAGGGTAACGTCTGCTCTTCTCTTCTCTTCTCTGCTCTGCTCTGCTCTGCTCTGCTCTGCTCTGCTCTGCTCTGCTCTGCTCTGCTCTTCCCTCCCCTCTGCTCTGCTATCTCCTCGCCTCCCCTCCCTTACTCTGTTCCCTCCCTCTCCTCGCTTTCTCTTCCTGACTTTCTTGTCAGCGAGCGGAGCAGGAGGCGATCAAACTCAAGAAGAAGCGCGAGCAAGTGAAGGCTGAACTCCGACTAGACATCAGGAAAGTTTCCTCCTCCTCCTTTTCCTCGTCGTCGTCCTCCCCTCCTTCTCCTCCTCTTCCTCGTCCTCCCCCTCCTCCTCCTCCTCTCCTCGTCTCCTACTTCCTTCCCCCTCCCTTCCTCCTCCTCCTCCTCTCCTCCCTA